GTACAGACGAACGGCTTGCGGTGCTTGGGCGAGATGTTCAGGTGCGTGTTGGATGTCGTCGTGTTGGCGTGTGATGTTGAATTGAAGGCGTTGGGATGTGTGTCCGGCTAGCATCTACGGAGTAGGTTCTGTGATCTCATGCTCAGACAACGGCCATGTACTCGCAGTTTCCGGTGTTTGTCTGCTGCCTTGATTTCGCATCAACGTATTGACTTCGGTCGTCACCGCTTTCCCCGCCGCTGCTGCCGTCGCCACCCCCGTTTCCATCGACGACGAAACCCTCTTCCCAGCTGCGTGGTGGGGAAGGAGATGACCGCCGACCAGATGGGAACGCTGGTCAGATCTACCTTGTCCTGCCACAAGTCTTCCTCTAAGTTCTGCGGGGAGGAGGCGAGGAAGGTGCGGACGGGGTAGGCACGGGGCAGACGTACGTTGCTTCAACGGCTACGCTGTCGTTGTTGCAGCTGTACTTGGCCTTGCGTCGCTGGAATTGTGCCCTGAGACCTTCAATCTCGCATGGAGTATGCATCACTGCAGTCGTGGTTCCTCACGTCCGTACCAGATGATATAGCTGCGCTGCCGCAGAGCAACGCCGAACGACGGCATGCTCACGTCGACTTTCGCCAGATGTGCACCGTTAACATATTTGGTTCCCTCTCGTTTTCCACGTATCATTCCATATCCCACGACCAGGCCATGGAGGCTGCCCTGGCCAACGCCGACCCGGAGCCTCTGCTCAGCGCGGTCCTCCCGCTAGCACTCGACACACACCCCAAGGTGGCCTGCCGAGGGCTGATGTGCACGGCCGAGTGCTTGTCGCGGCTGCTAGAGGGCAGCGTGGCGGGGCGCGGTCTGGTGGATGGTGTGGACGTGAAGTCCGTTGTGGCGGCACTGGCCAAGGGGGCCTCGAGCAGGGACTCCGATGGCAAGGAGGCTGCCTGGAGAGGGGTGGAGATGTGAGATCAGCATCGTTTGAGTATCGATGTTTGCCTCTCTCTTTCATCACCCCTCCTACTTCCTCCTTCTCCACGCTCCTGACATGAGATTGTGTCCTGTAGGCGCCGAAATGTGGATTGAGATCGTAGGATATGAAAGAGAGGAACGGTCGACTGGACAGTGTGACAAAAACGCGATCAAAGCGCTAGAAATAGGGTAGATACTGGCGTTGGGGGCGAAGGTGAACGTGGTGGATGTTTGGACACGTTTGGGAGGTCACGAGGCGAGATAGAAGTCGAACGGTATGTTGACGGCCTGAAATATTCTGTCGACAGAGCTACAGATGCAGCTCGAGTAAAACGATCTGAGGTTGCGAGACGGGAGGTGGCGATATTCAGTACGGAGGTTTGCCCACCGATGCGGTAAGGCGCGAGAGAGTCGAGCCCAAACAATGGCCCGGAGATAGGAGGACACTTGGTACGGTACGGTACAAGGTGCGAAGAGTGTCCAGAGTCGTCGCTGTCGCTCATGGGAGTAGGAATGGCGATCTGGCTTGAACGAGAGGTATGATGGATAGTCAAATGAACAAGGCGACGTACAAAAAGACACGTCCCCCCCGCCCGGTGCTATCTTTTCTTCACTTTCCCGGCCGGCACATCCCCTCTCGTAGAGCCACATACAATATGGAGTGTCTAGGACTGCTGAGACACAGCAGCCCGAACATCACAGAGCAGGTCGGCGTGTGTGGCGTGCCCCCGTCAAGGTATGTATTGCAGTTGGAACGCGTCGCTGACGTTGCTCCCTTTCGCTCTTGACATGCCCACAATACCTCTCACGAACAAGCAGGTGTCGCAAGGCCTTGGGGGAAGATGCGTTCGAGGCGACTATCGCCGAGCACGTCGACCGGAAGGGAGTGCGAGCTATCCACGACCTCGTGTCCGGCAAAGTCCGGAAGCTCAGCAGGACAGCAGCAGCAGCAGCAGCAGCAGCAGCAGCAGCAGCAGCAGCAGCAGCAGCAGCTGGAGCGGGGGCGGCGGGAGGCACGGCCACGGCCGGCCGTTCGGGCGTGCGTTCCCGTCGCCGGGTGGCTGACGGCGGTGCTTTCGGCAAGCCTGCGGCAAGGGGTGGTCTGGGTGTGCGGGACAGGCCTACGACCGGCGGTGATGGCGGGGCCCACATCGGTGGGCCGGCCGGGGTGTCTGACCAGACCCTTGCTCGGCTCTCGTCGTCATGTGACAGGGAGGTGGGGTCAAGCGGCGCTGGCGGTGCTGGCGTGTGCGGGTTTGGCGGTGGCATGTGGACAGGGACGGCTACGCGGGGCGTGGGAGAGCCGTGGACGAAAGACACTGGTTCGGCGGTGTCTTCGGCGACGGGAGCAAGGGGAGGCGAGCGGCCCCGCCCGCTGCAGCCCCGCAAAGGTTCGAGCGGGAAGCAGCAGCAGCAGGAGGAGGAGGAGGGGGATGTGAAGGTGTCGAGCGTCGGGGCGAGAGGGGAAGAAGGAGCCCGATGCTGGGAGGACGCGGTGGCGACGACCCCGGCAAAGGGAACGCCCGACCAGTGTCCCGAGAGGCACGTGGAGAGCGATGACGAGGGCCCGGCGGCAACAGGGGGTGCCGTGATGCTGGGAGAGCCGATCACGGACTCCAAGGTTCTGATGGCCGTGAGGATGCCCGAAGCGACAGCGTCGGCGGAGGCCGACGTGTCGTGTGGAGGCGGCGCGGGGACGGAGCACGAGGCATCCGGCGGTTTGGAGAAGGCGTCTGGCGAGGTCCCGGTGTTCGAGGCGACGGCGGCGTCGGGAGGGCTCGTGGTGGAAGTCGACGGTGCTAGACTGCAGGCGATCGAGGAGGTAGCGGGCGACAGCGCGGGCGTTTCGACGGCAACGGTGCCAGGGGACGGAGCAATATCGGCGAGGCTGCCGGTGTCGTCGTCGGAGACTGCGGATAGGACGGATAGCCCAGTTGCGGCAGCCGAGAATGCGGAGGAGGGGGGGCTCGT